TCGCACGCCAGTGGGTACCCCGCGCGACGCGACGCGTATACGGCCGCGTCGATTTCCACAAGCAGGGAGAGGTACAAGTGGTTTAAACAATGAGTCCCATCGACCTCTACTAAAACCCTAAACCTTTGATACTAAACCCTGTGTTTTAATGAATTGAGCAGCTTGGGTTAAAAGTTAAAACCACTAGTCCCACAAACCTCTTCTACTAAAACCCTAAACCTTAAATACTAAACATTGTTTCAATGAATTGAGCGGCTTTGCTTAAACCACCAGTACTTGGCCCAACTATCGGCCAGGACAAAAAATTAGAGTAGAAACGTTTCTAGTCGGATGAATTTGGGCGCTCCTGTAGTGGCCCGTACGTTTCCTAAAGTTGTGGCTTGTTTGGCAAGACTTTAGAAAGTACTGGTGGTTTAAACCACCAGTCCCACTAACCTCTTTTGCCCAACCCGGATTGCTGCTCTGTGCAAAATCAGGGGGTTTCCCTCATGCCGCCAACCATTTTGCTCTGGTAGGCCATCAGGGGTTAACGAAGCGGGTCAACTGCCATGTGGAAACAAAATAGCTGGGAAAGACAATGGTGGTGGTGTAAATAAAATGTCGTTCGGAATCATGACGGAAAGTTTGCTTCCAAGCAAATGAACAGCAGCCCAGGGAAGAGGGGGAAAGGGATGGGGAGAGGAGAGGGTGGAAGTCGGGGGCGCGGAAGACACAGTAGAAGGGGGAAGTGTATAGCAGATGGGTATCTTATATGTTCACATTTGACCAAGTTTGTATCCGATCTCATTTCATGTTTTGTCTCTTTCCAATGTTGTATCTGAAGCTGGTCGTTTTCTTTGGCCGTATGCATGCTGGGGAATGAAGGATGTGATGCTGGTGGAAAGCCAAGCTCATATTCGACCATGAGGTAATTTGCTTCTTCTTCTTCAAGTTCTTGTTCTTCTTCTTCTTCTTCTTCTTCTTCTTCTTCTTCTTCTTCTTCTTCCCCTTTTCTCCTCTTCTTGTCCTCCTCTTCTTATTCTCCTTCTCCTTCTTCTTCTTCTACTCCTTAATATTGCCGCCAACTGAAAAAAATGTACGTACCTTGCGGTTGGAATGTATTTCACCTAGAAGGCTAGAACTGGTAATAATGAGGTCATGAGGCCTCTGTGTACCCTTTTTGCAGAAAAAAGGACTGCATCATCACTGCCTTTGTTGGCTGTTGGGCCGTTTATTGCCCCTTTCTTTGTTCAAATTTTGAGGTAGGCAATAGGAAGAATTGGAATGCAAAAAAAACGGAGTTGCAAGCTAGGCAAATCCAAGGAAAGCATATGGGCTTGCTTCTACTGATCGCCCGATGGTCTGTGCGCCATGTGCGGAGATATTCAATAAATATCCAGATAACGGGGACGCAGGTCCGAGTATCCACTGTTGCGAGCTCGAGGTGAGCATCTGATTGCTGTTAATGCTAGTGAATCAACAGGAGGGAGGGATGGGTGGATGGATGGAGGGAGGGAGGGAGTGAGTGAGTGAGTGAGGGAGGGAGGGAGGGAGGGAGGAGGAATATATTGGCAAATAGACTCTTAGATGGATTAACTATCAACTAATGGTTGGTGGATGGATGGATGGATTGAATTAATGGGTTTTTTTCTTTTTTTCTTTTGGGCAAATTGCTTTTGTGCCCCATTAAAAGATGGGAATACCCGGTATACCCAATCCTTGTGCCCAACTTGCGTCTGTACCCAGGAAATGGACTGCGCAAATCATTTGCATGCCCACGACCGAGGTGGGCCAAGGTTGGCACCACCAAATTGCAGTTATAGTATACCCAACTACCGGAATGCTCTAATTATGCACATACCCAGGCAAATTACGTGCACATAACCATAATTTTGTGCTCCCTAACCACGGACCTGTGTGACTAGGTAGATAAATAAGTTTGTGCGTGGGAAAGGTAGGTTATCCCTACACTATTAAACCACCAGTACCTGGCCCAGCTATCGAGTCCGAGCCTCGGCCGACCGGTACGCCGATCCGTGCCGAGGGTCGGACTACCGGGCGCAGGCATCCCGAACGTTGCCTGAAAGCTACGAAAAAAACGGGAAAAAAAAAACGAAACGGGAAAAAAAAAACAAAACAAAAAAAAGAAATAAGAGAAACGAACGGGTTCATTCCCGAGCGGGAATGCATCTTCCCGCTTTGGCACAGAGAGAGAGAGAGAGAGAGAGAGAGAGAGAGAGAGAGAGAGAGAGAGAGAGAGAGAGAGAGAGNAGAGAGAGAGAGAGAGAGAGAGAGAGAGAGAGAGAGAGAGAGAGAGAGAGAGAGAGAGAGAGAGAGGGGGGCGGCGAGTCGCCGCCCCTCCGTGCAGATCGCCGCCCCTCCCTCTCTCTCTCTCTCTCTCTCTCCCTCTCTCTCTCTCTCTCTCTCGGTCGTTTCGAGAAAGGAAACGGGAATGCATCTCCCCGCTATAGGGGAAAGATGCATTCCCGTTTTGAAAAACGAAACGAGACTCTCTCTCTCTCTCTCTCTCTCTCTCTCGTTTCGAGAAACGAAACGGGAATGCATCTTCCCTGCGATAGCGGGAAGATGCACGCGGGGAAGATGCATTCCTGTCTCATTTTCCGAAACGAGACACAATCTCTCTCTCTCTCTCTCTCTCTCTCTCTCTCTCTCTCTCTCTCTCTTTCTCTCTCTCTCCCTCCCTCCCTCCCGCGCCACTTTCCTTCTGTGTATTTCTTTTTTTTTTTCGTTTATGTATTTCATTTTTCTTTTTCCTTCTTTTTTTTTTTTTCCCCCCTCTACTGTGTCGTCCCTACAGAAGCGGGGCCCGGCTTTCTGGCTACGACCGGGCCTTCCCTTGGCCGATCCCCCTAAGGCTGCGGCGCGTATACGGGAAGGCCGGCGGCCTATAGCTGAGCGAGGTACTGGTGGTTTAAAATCGCTAACGTGACAAATCTGAAATGCGGGCCGTCGTCGGTCCTACCGGCCCACGGCCCAGATCGACTGAACCATGTAACAAATGTGCCATCTGGCCCGTCGGGTCCTACCAGACCGACGGCCTGGATAGATGCTGTCGACCGCGCCGAGATCCAAACCGTTGGTCCGGACGGACGGCTCAGATAGACGCGCCGAGTGCCGTGGGGGTACTACGGGAGTTCGCGACGTCGGGCCAACCCAACTTTCCCGTTGGACTGGCCGTTGTCGTGCAGCGCCCTCGGTCCATTGTATGTATATGGTGTTGTCGTGCTTCTGGTGTTGTCGTGAAGCGCGCAGTGCGCCCGCTTGTGAAGCACCCTGTCGTTAATCTCTCTCTCTCTCTCTCTCTCTCTCTCTCTCCTGTGGTTGGCCTTTGGTGCTGTAAGCTGTGGTTCTCTCTCGCTTGCCCGCCTGTGGTTGGCCGTGGTTTGTGGTTGGCCGTTCGGAGTTCTGCATCAACGACGCCTGAACGCCGGTCGAAGATGGCAGACACAGGTCAGTACACTTCTCCCTGCTTCCTCCGCCCTCTCCCCCTGACTTCCCCCGCCCCTCCTCCGCTCTCCACCGCTCCTACTCTGCGTGTCCTGCGATCTCTGCCACTCT